TTTATTCGTCTTCTATCGTAGACTATATACTGTTCGACTATCAGATTAGATTCTCTTTGCTAACTGCAATATTTCTCTGATTTTAATGAATTCAGGAAAAAATATTTACGTGAAGAAAAGTAAATGATTAATCCTACTAAAATCATTTTCGGCGAAAATTACACTTTTTTGCTGTTCTAACGAAAAAGTAGCAACATGTGCACATAAGATAGTTATCATTTTAATATTATAACAGTACTTACTGCAAAAAGGAAGTTTTCGCTGCTATAATTATTTCACCATGCAGTTATAGTCACGAATACTAAATACTTTTTCTTAGTTTCTTTAGTTTTTTATTCTAAAAGGAACATTTTGCGATTATCTTTGTCATTGTTTCTCTCACAACAAATTAATAAATAATGATAACTAATAAATAACTAATAAATAAATTAATAATTAATAAATGTTTGGTGCTAATATGTATCTTGTGCCAACTTGAACCGATCTATTTATCTTAAAATTTATGAAATTAGAGCAGAATCGATGATATTCTGTCACGATTGAGTTATTCCACGTTGTATGCGCCAAATGTCACCGTAAATCATTCTTGAGGAATTACCAACACTTTATCCAAACGTATAAGAGTTCCACGCACTTATCAAGCCGATCTCCCCGCGTATTTACCTTTTAAACGCACGACTCGGCGATTAATCGCAATTTCTGCGAGGCATTAAATCCGCCCGGTATCGCACGTGGTAACGTGTGCAGTTACAATGTTAAGTTATGCCGCGATTACGCATTCCCTCATTTACTGGGTAGTGTTTCCTTCGAGGCTACACGCCGCAATAAATGTCACTTCCGCGGCGAGCCGTAGTTCTGACAAGAAAGCTCGACGCGACGGACGGCCATAAATATAAATGAATCTCGTCATTCTTATTCACCGCAGTATTTTCAGCTTGATCAGTTGTAATAACGGGTATTGTTTCGCGCACGGGAACGAGACACACGATGTTCCATACGTGACATAATCGTTCGCGGACGTTCAACATCACCATCATCAGCCGTCGCATTTTCGATTGACGCTTTTCCCCTTGATTACTCACGAAATTTCTCGGAGTGAAATCTCACTCAAAACGTATGAAAGTTCACTCGAACAGCAGCAGTGGAAATACTGATGCTCTTAATCACACACTGAAAGGAAAGATTGTTAATTTCGCTACAAATTATAATTACTTTTAATGCTAATTATATTTTTTACTGTTTTAATAAAAAAATAGAAATAGCAATTAGCATATTCATACGAGGTTATTATCAATAAGACTATTATAACATTTACTGTTAAACTATGTTTCTTGACTGTAATAAGAAATATTGTTCTACTGCTAAGAGAAAAGATTTACTCACTTTTCTTTTTTGAAGTAATGGTTATCTTCACAATAAAGGATATTTTCTTGATAATAGTCTTAAAATATACTCATCATAAATTTAAGAAAAACTCATTACGATATATTTAAAAATCATTACGATGTATTTAAAAAATTTTTATTTTTTTACAAGAACATTGTAAAACTTTATCGAAAAAAATTGGTTCCTATTTTTACATAGTAAGCTAATCGAAATTTTACTTCAGTTTAATGTTGTTAATTAAAATATTAAACTTACTAGAGTTTAGGAAGTATCTTGAATAAATTTGTTGCTTATGATGAACTTTTGTGATAGATTTATGGATATACAAAAATTCATGAAATATTTGAAACAAAACAAACATTTACTTGAATGCAGTACGTATTTTTTGTCATAAACACCAAACATATAAGGGAAAATATCTTATTCAAACTTGAGATGGATTCCATACGAATGAATGTTACCAACCTTTCATGTTGGTTTTGTTCTTGTGACGATGGCAGATATCAGATTCACTCTTCAATTTCGCATGAATTGAGCATTCGCAGTGGAGAATTCATTTTGTAGGAGTGAAAAATTATCCGAATTCGGGCGACTCGACTGTCGCTTCACTTTTCGTGTGAAATTTCACTCCAATAAATTTAGATTCTCTCTTCGGTCGGCTTAGCTCGCTCGCGAGTAAAACAGCCGAGAGTCTTTGGAAGAAAAATTTTCCGGAAATTCGCTGTCGAATGACGATTGAGGGGACAAGATAATGGAGTTATTTCGAATTTCTGCCGGGCAATCTGTTAACGCGATAAGCACATGGCGGCCCTATTGTGCCAGTGTCTGTGCCGAGGGACGTCGAATCACCCCTAGCCATGAAATTAAACCGTCACCTACGCGCGTCCCGCGCGCACGATCGCGGCATTCGGAGTCTTCCGATGAAATTGTCCGTCTAATTTTATCACGGCGGGCTTTAAAATGATGGAAGGTCTCTCCGGGATAAGCCTACGGCACGTGGGGCCGAGGGGAAGTCGAGGTTGGGCTTTAATAAAGAAGCCCGACGCGGCTGGTTCGCGACGGGAGTGCCTGCATGGCGCGTCAACCGTGCGAGGAAACACGTAAATCCTCGAAATCCTCCCCGGGGACCCGCGAAACGAGCGTTCCAGGCACGATATTTGACTCGATAACCTGCGCCTCCCTCCCGCCCGTTTATGTGGAATTCACGCGCGGTATGACGGTCCCGAGATAAGTAGCGTCGCCTACGATGACGAATCGACAAGTCGAGTCGCGAGGAGGAAATTGTTACGCCAATCAAAATCTCCGACAGTCCTTTCCAAAGAATAAGGACATTAAATTCTGCAGATTTATTATTAGGTTAATTCTCAAAAATTTTTGGTCAACTTAAAAAAAGGAGATTTTCAGTTTGAAAACGTGGAAAAAGATTTCAGTTTGTATAGCTGAACGAGGACCAAAATTAACTGACGAGAAATAATATATCTGCTATTGTAACCGAAAATATTCGTCTGAACATTCAGCTACATTAAAACTCTGAGAGCAATTGGCTGAGTAGAAATCTCTTATGGAAATCTTTCTGTTCCTACAACCGAGTTTTTCATCTGATTCACATATAACAGTATATATATGAATATTCATTTACATTAACGGAGTTGTTGTGTATATATGTTTATATATTTTCTTATAACTCGAAAACCGTTAAAGAATTAAGATCAAACTTTTTATAACTTGTTCAGTATGTTAGTTACATGCACTGAAAAAAACAAGTCTGTCAGTGTAACTGAATGTTTTGTTATGTGGAAAGCAGGTGAAAAATTCGAATGTAGAAACAGAAAGATTTTTGTAGGGTTCTACTCAGCCAATTGTTCTCAGTTATTTTAATCGAATTTCAGTACAGCTGAATATTCAGACGAATGTTTTCGGACACACAATAACACAGATATTTCTCATCAGTGAGTTTTCTTTCTAGTTCATCATTTAGTTACACGAACTAAATTTTTTTCCATGCATGATAGGATTGCAGGTACATAGGGATATTGAATCACAATTATTTCATACTTTTTTCAGGGTTTCTGAGGTATTTTAAGATATTTGTTTTCTTTCTAAGTTTTATGTTTTTTATAGAACATATTCGTCGATAAATTCCTATTTAAAAAGTGCTTTATTCGCATGTTAATATTTTTGTTCAATGCTTGTGAGAAAACATTTTTTAATTAACTTGATATTTGGAAGAAATTGGGCAAATGTCTATCTGGAAACGTTTGTCATCTGTTGTGTCTTAATTAGGAGGTCAAAAGTATTCGTTCTTGATGTCGTTATCTTTCAAGAAGCGATTAGCTGGAATATGCGATTTAGCTGGAAATTTCATTTTCTTTCCTCTTTTTCCGTGCTAGCCTTGGTTTTCATCGAAGACACAAGTGTTTCCGATAAGCGTTGATAATATATACAAGGCTTTTATGTAACAAGGTACTTTCTTTAAATATCAAACGCTGCACTGAAATGTTATGCTAAACTTCGATAACGAGCGCATTTTAACGTCCGTCCGTCTGCGAAACGCTCCGTGGAGATAGCCGTGAAGTATCGCTGCCATTTTATCCTTCGACAAGTACCGTATTTCTAATTTAACGTTGTACAACGCATCGTCGCATTACAATCCGATCTATCGGCGCGCGTAAAGTAGTACAAAAGATATCCGCGCGACAGTTCGTATTCTTTGAGGCCGCATTATCAGAAAAAATCCATTTTCAATGAATCCATTCCTAGAATGTAATAAATATTGGATCACTCGTGCGAAATAAATGGCGATCTTCGCGGGCATCTGGGAAGCTGTAAAAGTTACGTTTATCAAAACACGCATACGTATACAGAAAAGAGAAAACATTACTTTTTCGATATTAACGATTAAAATTCGATGGAGCGTATTAGAGTCTATTATTCCTATTCAAACGCTTTCAGCTTATCTCGCAACACAGTCGCATCTTTGTCACGTGCGCGAAGGAAATCTTAGGAAAAATTCACACCTTGCAGAAAGGTAGAAGCCAATCAGAATTTGCGATGGTAGAAAATCAGAAACTATCGACTACCACTAGCGCGAGTTTTGATTGGCTTTTGCCTTTTAGATTGTTGCTTTTCTGCCGAGGTGTGAATTCTCCTCTACAATCTCCGCGACGCGGTTTTTGAAAATTTGCTTCTTATCACCGGCCACGTTCTGCAAGCCGCGGAAGCCATTTGCCAGGCACGATGGGTAATTAGCGCGCGAAACGCCGATCCGCCGCAGATAACGCGCGGCCTTCCTCTTACGCAAGAGCTCGCCGCAAAAAACTATCGACCATCCACCTTTATCTGCCGGTGTATCGCGACCTGACCGGCGGTCTCCGTTGTTGCGTAGGCATGCAGGTAGCGGGGCATGCAGAACAACGACTCGCGCGTCGACTTGTCTCGCCGATTATCAAGATAAGCGATGCACTGCGCCACGGGCGCAGCGCTTACGGTTGCGTTTTCCTCCTGCAAGTAACACGTCACGCGGAAGCAGGAAAAGTCGAGCAGCTCCGATTGCCAGGATACGCCGTCAGCGATGCCGACGTATCTTATCTGCAAAGGTATTAATGACAATCTACCTGTTAGAACGACCGCGCACTCCTTAGCCCGAGCAACGCTGATTCTCGTAATCGCTTTTCCCACTTTTTCGCTGTGCCAGTTGTGTTCCTGCAAGGAACATTCGTTGTTAGGAAGACAAGCCTCTATTTTCTGTCTCTATTTCTGCATAGAGAGCCCCAAAACCATCATGCAATATTTTGGAGATCATTTGGTATTGAAGATCTTAGTGTTAAAATATGTCAATACTAGTCGGAGTTCGTAAGGCGATGACAAAGATGGTCAGTTTGGGAATTGAGCTTCAGGAAACCAAGTGAATAACAAAATTACATTTGATGAAGTATACTTGAACTCTCTAATTGAAAAAGCTTAGATAGAAGTTTTCTTTACACCGTAGAAACCTAAAATATCAGTTTAGTTTTAAAACATACAATATTAAAAATTGCACAATTATGATAAATAATCTCTCTCTCTACATTTTGATACTAGAATCTTCGACTCTAATTAAGTTTCAGAATTAAAGTATTAAAGTATTGTTATTAAAGTATTGTTCGATGGTTTCAAGACGTATAGAAACGTTTGTTCAAATAAAATTTGAAAGATCTGTACCTTCACGTCTCTTTGAAATGGATAATTCGCTCATACCGGAGATAAATAAACGTGACTGCTTAAAACGTGACTGCTTAAAACGTGACTGCTTAAAAGCACGACAGATTTTCAAGTATTACGGAAAGTAAAACGAGAAGAGAGAAAGAAGAGACGTTTGTGGTATTGTGGGAAACGATTATCTATGCTCAATTTTCCTTTTAACATCACATGCGTCGCTTTTAAGGTCTAACGGTTATTATCCTAACGACACGGAACTTATCAAACATGCAAATCGCATCATAAACGGCGCGTCGAAGACATTCGCGGCATGATTACGGTATCTATATCGGGATATAGGTTTTCTCTGTCTGTAATACGTTGAGAAATCACGTCGAGATATATATCGCTATGTGCAACCTATTTTTCTAAATCGTTATTTTGCGCACGAAGAATTAACTCTTTACGCTCCGAGAGTAGCTCATCCGACATTTCTTTTAAACTCGAATAAACACTGCTGCGGTGCCTATTGGGTTTTAAATTTGAACCTAAACCAGCTGTTGTTAGTTTTAAAACTGATTTAAAAGCCAAAAGACGCCGCCACAACATTTATTTGAGTTTTACAAGAGATTCTGGATAACGTCGCTACGAGACTCCAGGGCATATAGGATTAAGTCCGTGAATCACTAGTTACTTTTGTGAAATGTTTACTTTTTTAATTTCTTTGAGTGAAATTTCACTCGAAAAGTGATAGTCGGGTCGCGCAAGAAACCTTTGTCTCGTTTAGGATAAATTCTTCACTCCAAGTTTTCATTCACTCGAATAATTTTTTTCTTCTTAAAGGAACTTATATCTTGCCAATAAATAAACACATAAATAGATAGAATTTAAGTTTAGGTTCAACATTTATTCTACACAGAAAAATATTCTACTACTGAGAGAAGCAATTACTTAATTTTTTTCTTTTAAGTAATGTTTATCTTTAACAAAGGAATGTTTTCTCGACAATAGTCTTGAAATCTATTCATTACGATTCTGAGGAAAACTCATTATTATGTACTCAAAAGAAGAATTTATTCTCTGTACAAAACAGTACGAAATTTTATCAAAGAAAATGTCGATTCGATTCTATGTAGTAAACAAATCGAGTTTTTGGTTTAATTTGGTATTCTAAATTATTTAATTATTCTTGATTGTGAAATGTTAAACTTACTAGAATGGATTTCGAATAAGTTTGATACTTATATGATGAATTTATGATGATAGGATTAATATAATGATAGCAGTTATACAAACTTATGAAATATTTCCAACAAGTAACATTCAGTTGAATATAGCATATATTTTTCTACGTGCAATGATTCTCCGAGCGGCAGTACTTTCATTATCGCTTCGACTGAATCCACTCGTTTTAAAGAAACGATAAGTCCAGAGGGGTATAATCCCCAGCTGTAGCTGTAAAATAGACAAAAAAAATTGTTTCACTCACGAGAGATATTGCGATAAACGACAATGCCTGCTCCCGTCGGTGTCGTCCATTCAAAAACAATATCGTTCCGACAACGTACGAATTACAAATCGCAATCACCGGCTTCCAATCCGGGAAGAAAATATACAACGTACCACGCGAGCGAGCCCGGTGTGCGACGGAAGATCACGATGACGCTATAAGCTGCCATGAAGAGTTGAGCGAGCGAGCGCGCGGCGCGTCGATAGCTTCTGCGCGGTGAATAAAAACATAAATTGTAACCACGGCCGGTGCGCGAGGGTTAAAACGTGTTCCGCCGTTATGACTATAATTTGCCGGAATTCCAATCGTAACGGTAAAGCCGCGGCGACTTTGAGCCACTGATTGCACGCTCGTGCCGCGATCGACGGGCACGCGAGGCACGCGTAATTTTCGTCTCGGAGCTGCCACCGAGCCGGCGAAGAGAGCGGAGGCGGAAGAAAGACACGAATGGTCGCGCTAATAAAACAGTCGGATAATCCGCGGCCCCCGATGCGTGTTTTGGCGAAACGGCCCTATGGGCGAGAGACACGGCGACTGCTGCACCCCCGTCACAGCGCGCGACGTGATTAAAACCAGCGTTGAAGCGACGCCGCCGAAGCCACGGGGGGCTGATTGTCAGGGGGTGACGAGGGCCGCCCTTACCCTGTGCTTAGGCTAATTTATTGAGATGTCGTCGTGCCATCGAATCTCCGTCGCTTCCGCTTCTCGCTGCGCCGAGCGGGTCTCTGAGCATTTAACGAGTCCGTTCGTAGGGCATTTTTACAATGTACGGAAGAACTATTCTGTTAGTGTGACTACAGTTTTTGTGTTACTTGGGGACTAGATGAAAAACTGGTAGGAACAGAAAGATTCCTAAGATTGGGAGGTATCAGAAAGATCAGGAGGTATCTGCTCAGCTGATTGCTTCCGGTTATCTCAATCGCGTTTTAATAGAACTGAATGTTCAGGCGAATGCTTTCGCTTACAGTAACAGAAATATTATTTCTCATCAGCAAGTTTATCGTCTGGTTCCTATTCAGTTTTGCCGAAATTCCTCTTCCGTGTACGTCATCGAGTCTTTTTACTCGCATTATGTGATAAAGATAAAGAGGGTCGCAGGAATATCGTATCCTTTAAGACTCCTGGCCTCCCTCGCCGTGAAATTCTTGATTGATGATTGATTGATGATTGATTGATGACGTCGCACGAAAAAAAATTTCGTTGGTTTAACAACTTCAAGTAACGGAATTCTGATTCATTCATATTTCACCAAATATTTAGTTAATTTAGTCAAAATTTCTTTTTCATGCAGAAGCGAGAAAACTTATGTCCAAAATTCTCGCAAAATACACTGAAAAAAAAAGATACGCCACAAAGTGATTTTTGCATTCGATTAAGTATATTCGTAAAATATTCCGTAAACTTTTCTTTTGTCCTAACAATCAATAAGTAATCATAAAATCAACGTGACATGCAATCTTTATTTTTAGCCTATCTTTCCTTATAATTTTATCACGTTAATTTTATGAATATTTATTGATTGTCAGAGTAAAAAGGAAGTTTTTGGAATATATTCGAATCGCAAGTGTCATTTTACGGACATAACTTTATATTTCGACATATTCCGCAAGAATTTTGGGCATTTGGGAATTTTGGGTTTTCTCGTTCCTGACGTCATTAATCAAGATGGCCGCGACGAGAATACAGTAATTTCTACATTGCAAGTTACTTTAAAATTCACATACGCGAGACTTTACATGATAATTCTTTACATGATAATTTATATCTACTTTATGTCGAGTCTTTAAAAAATTACTTCGCTTTTAGCGACGTATTCTTTTTTTTGTAAATTTGACAGAAGGGTTGAGGGGCCTTGATCGCACTATATACTTGTCTTCTTTATGGACGTTCATCAACTGATAAAATCGTATTGCTCAAAGTGCATTTCACTACCTACCGTGCAAGGTTACATGCCAGGGCACGTTTTACTTTGACATTGTTGTCATCACAGTCAGTCATATCGTATATCGCGATAAATATAATGATACGATGAAAAGGAGCGTCCACTGACGTTGGTGTACTTAGCGTGTCGAGGATAACGAGCAAGATGATTGGTAAGGCCGGACAGGTACAAAGCGCCGATAAAAAGCCGTTCTTATTTTAGCGCCCGCTGCCAGTTACCCGATAACTACTTATCTAACGTGCGACGTTCCTAAATCGACAATTTTTTTAAATTGTCATACACAAGTATTACGCGATGTTCGTGTTTCTGGCAGGTGACACGCTGGTTATCCCAACATTGACATGCCCATATATCTTTTAACAAATGATTGACCTCGTTTTATTAAAACGTTTTATTAAGCATTTTTTCCTATATATGTATATATTATTAAATTATAAAACATATATATATATATATATATATATATATATTGTAAATTAATTGTAAAAGAACAATATGTGTATTTTGAGAGTGCAACGTAGTGTTTAAGGGAATGCCATGCTTGAAAATGTTACCAACAAAATTTGGCGGTTTTTTCCTGCAAATTTTATATCATGTTGGTTGCACAGAATTACGAATACTTTTACATATTGAAAAGTACGTGGAAAAATGAATTGGGACATTGCTCAGTATGTGATGAAAATGAAAAAATTTCAAAATTGTGAAATATTGAATATTGTCAGTTAGCGTATAAATATTTGTCTGATACAAAATTTTCTCAGCTTGTTCCGAACGTGCGTTTGCTCTGCTTAAAATTCCAAAGAACATTGCCGTATCTTTACAACTGAATTTAGAAGCTTAAAAGTGTATAAAAAGTTTGCAGAAAAATTTCTACATACATGTAGTTGTGTTTCCCGCTAAACATAATCAAAAGAAACCAGCATACATATTTGTACTAGATTATATGCATAAGAAATATGAAAAGAATAACGTGATCATGCTTATTTGCCATGATACTTTGACGATCACCTCTACGTTATCGACATTGCACTTCGTCATCCTTTTTGGGCATCCCCTTAAGAATTATCACTCGAT